TTTTTATATTTATTCCTGTACATATGTATGCATTTATATTTACATAGCTTTATTTCTAATAGATCGGATTTGATATGGACGAAGACAATGAATATGATGGATATTTAACGGACAATGAAAGGATATCATCTTCGACTAGCGATAAGAAAAAAAAGAAATATTCTCAGAAATATAAATCTGAATGGGAAAACCACAAAGAATTTAAATCGTGGCTTAAAAGAAGTAATAAAGGTTTAAGTTATTTTCATTGTAAAATATGTTCAGTAGATTGCGTTGGTGGATTGGGTGCAATTAAAAAGCATGCTGCATCTATAAAACATACAAAAATGGTAAAGTCTGTTCAAATGCCAGTAATAAATATGCAATTTGTTAAAAAAGCTAAAGAAACAATGTCCAAAACCAAAGATTTTGAATATAAAATTGCATCATTTATTACAGAGCATGATATTTCATTTAATACTTCTAACCATTTAACCAAATTAATCAAAAGTATTAATCCCGATGCCGAAGCTGTACAAAATATAAAATGCAGTAGAACTAAATGTACTCAATTAATAAAAGATGTTAGTGGCCAAAAAGCTTTTGAAGAAATCATTACTAAACTTAAAATTCACAAATTTTCGTTGATAGTAGATGAAAGCACTGATCATAACTGTGTAAAACATTTAGCAATAATTGCAAGGTTTTCACAAAATTTTGAAATAAATGATACGTTTGTAACTCTGCTACCCATTGTAGATAGTTCTGCAACAGCACTATATAACATTATTATAAACTTTTTTAATAAATTTGAAATACCATTTAAAGAAAACATGATAGGCTTTGCGGCTGACGGAGCTAATACAATGATGGGTGATCATCATTCTCTAAAAACTATGTTAACTAATGATGTACCTGGACTTTTTGTATTAAAATGTACCTATCATTCTTTAGCTTTATGTGCATCATATGCTTGTATGAAGTTACCTAGAGGACCTGAAGATTTTGTACGCGATGTACATTCATACATGAAATATAGTTTTAAAAGAATGTCCGAATTTAAAGAGTTTCAAAAATTTGTAGACACAAAACCACATAAATTACTATTACCAGCTCAAACTCGTTGGCTTTCTTTGATATCGGTAATTAAAAGGGTCTTAGAGCAATATGATGCATTAAAACTTTATTTTCAATCTCAATATCTTAGTGACAAAATACAAGCATCTGAAAATATTCATAAGAAACTTCAAGATCCTTTAAATAAGCTGTACTTAGAATTTTTGGAATATATCTTGCCAGTATTTACTAATATGAATATAGAATTTCAAGCAGAAACACCTAAAATTCATTTATTATATGACAATATATCTTCAGCGTACAAAACAATTCTCGAATGTTACATAAAAAAAGAAATATTAGCCTCCAAAGATATAAGTGAAATCCAATATAGAAATCCACGTAACTTCGTTCCAATTGATAATTTATATTTAGGACCAAAAGTAAATGGACAATTTCATAGATTAGAATTAGATGGAAAAATTACTGCTCAAGAAAAACAGGATATAAAGTTAAGATGCTTGGATTTCTATATTGAAAGTGCTCATCAAATATATTTAAGATTTCCGTTCAATGCACCACATGTACAAGC